CACACACACACTCACACACACACACACACTCACTCACACACACACACACACACACACACACACACACGAACACACACACACAAACACACACATAGTGGAGGCCTGAGTCGGAAATCTGCTGGGTCGCCGGATCGTCTTCGGTTTAGCCCTGTCGTGTTTTCTGTTTATATTGGGTTGCATATTAAATTCCGATGATTGTCTAGAGCTACGAGTTCGGAGTTCCATGTCCATACTTGCGGCAAATTTCCCTGTTTGAAAGTTGTAGGTTTTTTTTCTCCTCTGCCTCTCTTAGTTACTGCAATTTGAGCTGCAGGCTGTATACATTGTGCTTTCTCTTCGACATTGTCAGCTTTTTCAGTCTTTCGATCAGTCACACAGAACACACGAAAAGTTGATCAGGACACGGGACTGCGCACTGTACTGTGCTCTGCATTAGTCTGGAGAAGCGAGAAAACCCATGTGAGGCATCGTGGTGAAATCAGGCGCTCGTCAAAATAATGAAATCCGAGAAATCGGCATTTTCACACCAGTTTGGACTTTTTTCCTCAAATTTTTGTTTTTTGGCTCAACACCTTGTGTCTACATTCTAAAACGTTCTTATGTGTTGATATTACGACAAAACAATGGTTAAAGGCCCAAAAAAATGTGAATTTGCAGTTTCCAAGGACTCTTAAGCTATGGAAGCCACCAAATTTTGACGGCCATTTTTTTCACCAATTTTACTTCTGAAACTAGGCGACCCCACCTCCTTCAATTGCAAATATCTCGACTTCTATTCGAGATCAATGGATATTTTTGTGGGTGATTGGCGGGTGCTTTGGTGTGATTTGCTCCTTCTTTCTTACCAAACATCTGTCGTCCTGATCTCTCCTTTTTGTGTTTGTTACTCTCTTATTGTAACACCTCTAATCTTCGGCACTTAAATGACCTTATAGTGTTGCAAGTGCCATAAAACTCTTACTAAAATAAATGGATATATTTTTCATCCAAAGCAAGGCAAATGAGCAACCTTTAAGATGACACCATGAAAAATAATTCCATTTGCCCGAAAATTGACGAGCACCTGATTCCACCGCGTCGAGACACCTATACGTTCTTACTCTGAACGTCTGGGGGAAAACTCAATGACGATGACGTCATGAAACACGCCATATTATTGTTATGCGGTCATGTGTTAAGTGCGCATGTGTAGAGCCTTTTTGTTCAAACTAGCTTTGCAGAGACAATAGGCCACGACTAGCCGAAGGTCCGCCGAAGACTGACGTACATGTACAATGTACATTCTTTATACTTGTTTCTCGAGGCATAGACCTATAATAATATGCAGATAGTAGGTCTTTTGGTGTGTGTATGATAAACGTCGGCAAACAATACAGCACACTGCGTTCTCCTGTTTTGCTATCTTGAAGCGCGTATGACTTGATGATCTGCGTTTCTCGAGCGTTGTAAGTGAAGATTTAGTCGACGCGTAACCCTCGAAATTCTTTTCGGTTTACAAATAGGAGCATTTCAGCTTATCAATAGTTTTCATACAAATACAAAGAAGAATAAAATACAGATTTATTTTCTTTCGATTTACCGCTGTATTGGGATAAACCATGTTTAGTTTAAGCGGACTCCACTGTGTGTATATGTGTGTGCGTGTGCGTGTGCGTGTGTATGTGTATGTGTGTGTATGTGTGTGTGTGTGTGTGTGTGTGTGTGTGTGTGTGTGTGTGTGTGTGTGTGTGTGTGGAAGGGGGGGGGAGGGATGGCGGACCGGCTTCATTTCTGAAATGTATCTACATATACGATTTGGAAACATAGAAGGAACACAATCCATAGTATATTTCCATAGCTCTCTGAGATGGAATACTGACGTCATTCTATTTCCCTAATGTATTAATGTACACCAACGCAGGGTCGGTCAATGAACACCTTGGAGTTTTACTGATTACAACATTGTGTTACTATAAGGGCCGTTCAATAAGACTTCAGTCTGACTATGTCGAAGGACTTCGTATAACAATGGAATGGAGAGTGTCTAACAAAGTGTGTCAATTTGCAAGTTGAATATAGTGAAGTAATATTGTGAGTGTCCAATGTCAACTTTCTAGCTTTCTCTTTCATTCAGTGTGAAGACTTATTGAACAACCCTCGTATGACATCAAACAATAGTGTATCGTTTCAGCACACCTTGGTTTCGTTCCATGTATGGCTGAATGTTTTCCTTTGTTTGTTAAAATAAGGTTCAATATGTTCTATAAGCCTCCTTATTATTGCCACACTTTTACTGTTCAGTTATTATGCTTGTTTCATGTTTTATTTTTTATTTTTAAAAATATCTACATCTCATTGTGCGATACTATGCCAGTTTGCATGATTCAAAGTTAATATGGTTATCTGTGTATGTGTGTGTGTGTATGTGTGTGTGTGTGTGTGTGTGTGTGTGTGCGTGTGTGTGTGTTTATGTGTGTGTGTCTTTGTGTGTGCGTGTGCGTGTACGTTTTTGCATGCGTGCATGCACGTATTAGAATGCTTTCTTTTGCTCCAGGATACTATAAGTCATAACTGATATCAGTCTCTGGAATCTATCATGTGGCTTCTCTTTCCTTACAGGAATACTATGAGACTCAGCAGAAGGCGTGCTCCGGTCGTCAGGGAGAGACTTTTACCTGCACATGCAGTTGTGGACTATCAGGGTGGTAGCTCTATTCTGATGACGGCTTTACCTGCTGTCTGTGGATTTTCCTTGTAACTGAGGGAGGGATGAACAAGAACGACTTTATCAGCGTCTACACTACCACCATCACGACCACGTTCATAATCATCTTCAACAACTTTAGCAACAGCAACGACAATAACAACAACGACAACAAAGCCAAGCTGTAAGGATATCAGCGGTGACAGCAACATAAACAGGAACAGCAACAGCTGCAACTACAGCAGCAACAACAACGTCTACAACATTAACGACAGCATAAGCAACAACAATAACCACAGCAGCGCCCGACAGCCGTTCGTTCCATCTGTGTGTACTGATTTGCTGCTTTCCACAAAAATGCCTCAGTCGTTGTTTTGTTTCTTCCTTTAAAGCTATCACAGTATTGAATTACGTCACAATGTGATCCCGACCCCCGTTCCCCCTATTTAGGAATCGCAAAAGGCCTCGAAAAAGTGAGGCGCATGGGCCTATCTGCCGCCGGACACTCGTTTTGTTAGTTGATGGTGTTCGGGAAATTGGATTTTCCCATTATCACGTTTGACTTGTCACAAGTGGCTGGGTGGGAAGTACCCTACTGCTGTAGGGGAGAATCGGATTTTCCCACAACTTAGTGTCTGGTTTGTCAGCGGAAGCTGGGTGGGGAATCCCCTTCTCCTGACGCTGCGCCATGTCTGCTTCGGTGACCGAACACGCCCCTCGCCGGGTGTTAAACAACCCTCCCATGCAGGTAGGTTTTTTAGGTTGTTTTTTTGTAAGAACTGGTTTTGTGCGTGCGCGTGCTTGTGTGTGCGTACATGTTGTGAGTTTGTTTGAGTGTACATGCGCGTGTCTATGTGGTTTACACAAGTGGTTGTGGGTGTTGGTGTTTTTGTATGTGTGTGTTTGTGTGTGTGTGTGTGTGTGTGTGTG